TAGGTTGTGTCAATATGAATGAAAGGAGCCATCCTTTGATTACGCCTCAATGTGATGCCTCCTTGTTTGTTATCAAGTCGTGCTTTGTAGCCAATCATGCACATTATTGCCCCTTTTCTCGTTTTCTCAATACTTTTGCCTTATTGACGCTTTGAAGCAAAACAACACATACTACCAGATTTATGAGGGTTTACTCTTCTCAAAAAGAGTTCTTCTCAAAAAGAGTTCTTCTCAAAGAGTTCTTCTCAAAAGAATTTACTTCCAAATTTGATATCCGAGATCGAATACAGCTGATTTGAGTTTGAGCTATTGATTTGTGAATCAAAATAGAGGGGAAACACTTTGATGTAGTCCTAATTAAGTCCAGCTAATTGCTAACTACAACATTTGTATTGGGTTGGGGAGAATGAGTCGGCGCCAAACTTTAAAGGGACTTTTTGCACACATAAAGCCTTCTTTAAACATACGTTTGGTTTCATCAAAAGGATCCACTATTTCTCTACAAAATCACTTTTGAGAGATTCCACAAAGCTTTTCTTTCGTGGAGTTTATGAACTTCGAAACGCAGCTGGTTAAAATGGCAAAGAGTCCGACTCATCATTTGAACAGTTTCTTTCACATAAACCTTCTTTGGTGTTTATATAAAAAAGATAGAGCACATTCAATTACTTAAGTTGCCAAATTTGCAGGAAGATCCCACCAATGGTTTTTTCTAGATCACAGTTTGTAGTTTTTGTGAAAAAATGGCTTTTTCTTGAGCGGAGGCGCTGTTTGAATTTTCTTTTAAATGTCATTTTGTAGAGAATTAGTTAACCATTCTACTCATATCAAACGCATATTATTTGACGAAGTCGAATAGAAGTTTTAGACATTTTTTTCATTTTCGGCGCCGACTCATTCTCCCCAACCCAATAGTTAGCAATTGAATCGAAAAACTTTCAAAGCCAATTTTTGACCGCTTCTTCCGAAGCTGTTCTTCTTCCGAAGCTGTTCTTCCGCAAGCTCATTACTCATGATCCGGAATAAATAATAAGCAAAAGGGGCGAGGTCAGGACTGTATGGGGAATGCGCCAAAAGTTCCCAAACAAGGCTGTTTAGATCACAAAAACAAGATCACAAAAATGCTTTCCCTTTATGAAATTGGCCTTGCTGTTGCTGAAGATTTTTTTTAAATCCTATCATTTTTCATAAACGGTACGTTTTTCTGAGTTGATTGACATGTCACACGTAGATTTTCATCAGAAAACGCACTTCATTTCTCACACATACATTTGACCTATAATATTGGGTTGATGAATTGAAAACTACGCGACTTTGAACTAAAATTTATTGAACATAAAACCATGAATTCATTCCAAATAATTTCAATTATTATTGACGATTTCTGCCCATTTTACAGGCAATTTGCGGATTCCTCTTTCGTAGTAGGTTTTTGGTTTGTGTGTGAGACAAGTGTGAGACTCAAAAATGGAGGACTGGAGATGGAGACTGGAGATCCCAGTTTGAGCACTTTCTTCAAAAGAAACCCATTTTGGTGTCAATAGAAAAGTTGTAGAGAATCAAAAATTAGGCTTATAGCCAAATTTCCAAAAAGATACACTTAGTAGTTTCGCTTAAAATGCAAGTTTTGTGAAAATTCGTAATTTTGGCGTAAATTTCGCATTTCTGCAAAACCAGTTTTTGAATCGTTCTGAAAATTTGGATATAAGCTTGATTTTTGATTCTCTACAACTTTTCCATTGACACCAAAATGGGTTTCTTTTGAAGAAAGTGCTCAAACTGTCACATATGACAATAGCCGGCAGTTTTCAATTCCCCAGCTCAATAGAAAAAAAAAATTCTTCACATAGAATCGACCGTGATTATCGTTTTAATGTAATTGGCATTAGTCAGTCAGGCATTAGTGTTGAACAAGTCAGGAAATGCAAAAGCAGCAAGCTTGGATTCAGATTCTTGGAGTGATGTTTGGGCTTCCACGAGACGGAGTCCAGTATGTATTCGCCGATCCGAAAGCGAAACTTTTGGAGGCAATTCTGAGTCAAATCGAAGTCAAATCTGAGTCAAATCGATGACATTCACCAACCCAATCTTTGTAGTTTTTCCAAAAGTACTTTGACTTGACTTTTTCGAAATCTTATGTGACTCAATTTTCGGAGAACAAGCATCCGCTTCTTTTTGGTGTCATTATGTCGAAATTCTTCTCAAAATCCTATCTTTATTTCGTCAGTATTCTCTAGAAAACTGATCAACATAGATAAAATTACAATGTTGATGTTTAGCCAGCAAATAACTCGGTTCTGTTCCATTCTAGAAAAGAAAACCCATTTCAAAGTTTTGTTATTCAAGACTAAACTGTTAGAGCTAAACTTTTAGAAACATGCAAAATTTAAAACAAAACTATCCAAAGCTAAACATCCAAAGCTAAACAAATTCCACAGTTAAATTCCGTTAAACAAAAAGTCTAGAGTTTTATCTCTCCGAAAAGCGCGGATAGTCGCTCGTTGTTTCCCAAAAAAAGCTGTGAAGATAAGAAAACGGAAAGCCTTTCAGTTCAAAGGGTCATCCGTTTTTTCATGTTTTTTTCGAATCAGATTTGGGGAGATTTTTTGAAAGAATTTCTCCACCTGATTCATGCCCACCCACCGCTTTTCTATCGAATTCTCACATGCACAAAGTACAAAGGAAACGTGAATGATATGCTGATACTTAGAAAAAAGTTAAAGTCAGAGTTTGGAGTTGAATGACGCTGTGAGCATGCTTGATGTGAGCATGCTTGATGTGAGCATGCTTGATGTGAGCATGCTTGATGTGAGCATGCTTGATGTGAGCATGCTTGATGTGAGCATGCTTGATGTGAGCATGCTTGATGTGAGCATGCTTGATGTGAGCATGCTTGATGTGATCATCAAGCGCTCACACTGACTTTATGAAACAATTATAATGATATTTGTTTTTAGACGCTCAGCGTTAGCCTTAAAATATCACAGTTTGATATGAAAGGTATAACGGGAAAGTATCATACCAGAGAAGTAATAAAATATGAGAGTGGAGTTTGCCGAGCCACTGCTAGATGACTTTTAAAAGGCTTTAGAAGGCTTTAGAAGGCTTTAGAAGGCTTTAGAAGGCTTTAGAAGGCTTTAGAAGGCTTTAGAAGGCTTTAGAAGGCTTTAGAAGGCTTTAGAAGGCTTTAGAAGGCTTTAGAAGGCTTTAGATCAACTCTACAGAGTTGGGGCTTGATAAAAGTTCACAAGTTTTAACAATACACGGATAAGTTTTGTTTCTAACTAGATTTTGTCTTCGTTTTCTAATGCTTTTTGTTTGGATGTTGAGCAATGAGAAACTACAAAGGAAACGAGTGAATTCAGGTCAAAAGCAAGTTCTCACCAAGGCTGCCTGTACAATGACGGAATATCAAGTTCCTTTTCAAGGATATGTGTCATCAAAATTACAGGGTGACACAAGAGTTCAGGAGCCAGCTTGTTTCTCGGCCATCAAATTTAGCTTTTAAGATAACAAAAACCTATCCAACGCTGAATATTCTTATAAAAGATTGTAATTCTACCAAGTTTGTGGCAAATCTTAAAGCTTAAAGCTTATGAGAAGCTTATGAGAAGAAAGGGATTACGAAATAAAGAAGAATATTACGAAATTACGAAAAAAGAACATGGAATCTTTGAGAGATCTCTGAGAAATCTTTTAGAAAGTTTAGAAAGAAGCGAAATGGAAAAAAAACTTTGAGATTTGTCGGCTGGTCGAAGATGGGGTGATGCTGAGTGTAAGTGAAAGTGTAAATTGAAAGTTCCGTGACCTCGTTTGAGCACCGAAGATGATATCATAGATTCAGTGGCATCGAGAAATATCGTTGATGAATCAAAAGTCGATCAAATCAAAAGTGAATCAAAAGTGCGCTTGATTTTGTCGCTTTTCTTCAAAGAGTTATGCTGTAACATCAGCAATTTGCTCAAATCCAGTGATTTGTTGCTCGATTACGTGTTTTGGGGCTAATTCAAGTGATTTGTTGACATTTTACATTGAAATGCCAAGATAATGGACTGTTTAGGCCGTTTGTTGTTAATTCAAGCGTTTTTTTCGCTCAAATCCAGTGATTTGTTGCTCGATTACGTGTTTTGGGGCTAATTCAATGAGGCGATGAGAAAAAGCAATTGCCATTTCGTACACAGTTGTCTGAAAAGCACACATAGCCAGTGGGGTGTACGGGGCATCGTGCAAGCATCGAAGTTGAAACCTCAGATCAATTGTGATTACCCGCTGAACTTAAGCATATTACTATTCAAACTATTCAAAGAGTTGGCTAACCTAGCAAGAAAGCTAACTCCAACAGCAACAATGGTAGTAGCACCCGGAATTCCAATATGCCTGGTTACCCACCAACAACTTGACTCTATGAAACAGATGTTTTCAAGGATTGAAAAAATGGGATTACGCAATCTGAGTACAGTACTGAGTCGGAGGAAAACAAAATTAAATCAATAAATTGTGACCAATTTGACGCTTTCACTTTCGATTAGCAAATAAAGATGGAAATGTTTTGTGGCAATTCAGGCTCAATACTAAAATCAACTTTTGTTTTTGTTCATTTATTGTATTGTACTTGAGTGTACAATACTTGAGCTTCTTGTTTAAATGTATTTCTTAAGAAATTATGTTAAAAACGTGTAGAAATTGCTTAATTGAGCTTTTTTTTATTTGATTTTATTAAAAAATGATGAGATTTTATTAAAAAGTGATATGAATCAAATAAAATGTGAACATCTTTTAATGTTAAAGCTTTATTGTGTACTTGCAGATGATGTACTTGTGTACTTGTAGATGATGTACTTGTGTACTTGTAGATGATGTACTTGTGTACTTGCAGACTGTGCATAGATCATGAATGAGTACTTATTACTAAAGAGGAAATGGATCCATACATAATATGAACAAAGGGACAACCGGAAAAGGAACATTAAATTGCTTTAGAATATAAGCAACTGAAATTAAAGCTCAATTTTTGGTATGGTGAGCGATCGAGAGGAACGATGCTCGGTTTCCGAAGACGAACATCGTCTTCTCTCTGGTCCCCTCCAAGAAAGTGTTCTTGATGGACCTGGAAATATTTATTGTAGGATTTATTGTAAGATTTATTGTAGTATTTTTCTTATAAACTATGTTGGCTTTATGAACTGGCTTTTGCTTATGCTTCTGGAGGTGAATCTAGAAGCATAAGCAAGAGCAGAAGCAAGAGCAGAAGCAAGAGCAGAAGCAAGAGGAGAAGCAAGAGCAGAAGCAAGAGCAGAAGCAAGAGGAGAAGCAAGAGCAGAAGCAAGAGCAGAAGCAAGAGCAGAAGCAAGAATATGTCTACTGGACTAGCAGTATCGTTCCGAGATCAGGTTAAAGCAATTTTAGCTTTTGGAACAGGCTTTAACTTGTAAACTTTTTGAATTTGCTCACAGAAATGAGCGCATTGCTTTTGGAAATGTAGCTAAAACTCTGCACAAACCTTTTTCATCCGCAAAATTTCTTAGCCTTGTCGATGCGGGACTCGATCTGCTCGCCGAGATGAAAGTCTCGGTGACAAAGCTCGCGAATTGGATCACCCGATCTTTGTCCAACCATTTGCAATCAAGTTTTCTGAAATTCAGAACGCAATGGCAAACGTTTAGCTTAGCGTTTAGCTTTAAAAGACGGTTTTATCATTGTTTGCTTGCGTATCATTGTTTGCTTTTTTATTTATTTGCTTACAATCTATCGAATCCAATCAATTTTTGCAAATCTATCCAAAACTTTCAATCTTTAATATACAGGGTGCGTCCTAATTATTGCAACAAGAGTTCAAAGACCGTTTGTGATGTCAAGAATGTGATGTCAAGAATGTGATGTCATGGGCGTGTAAAGCCAATAACAATCAAAATTGGACCTTGATGCAAGATGGAGCTCCCGCTCACACGAAGAAGACGGTTCAGGACTGGTGTGTGGCCAACTTTCCCTCAGTGATCACCAAGGATGAATGGCCTCCAAACTCACCGGATCTCAATGTGATGGACTTTTCCATTTGGGCAATCTTAGAGGCTAATGTCTGCTCTCGAAAACACACAAGTTTGGATTCTTTGAAGAAGTCTTTGACCAAAGGATGGAAGGCGACTCCTCAAGATGACATTCGGGCCGCAGTGGAGGCATATCCGAACCGATTAAGGGCTGTTATCAAGGCAAAAGGCGGTCATATCGAATGATCTCTTGTTTCCTTATTTGTTACTGTTAAATAAAGCTATTTCTGTTTAAAAATCTTCTTCCAGTGAAACTTCTTGGTGTGCAATGCCTTGAGTATCTTGTTGCAATAATTATGACGCACCCTGTAGAACTAGAAAAGTGAAAAGTATCAAGTTTATGGCACAGATTGTGCACCAGAAAGTGAACAAGATTAAAATACTAGCCAGATTAAAATACTACTTAAATATTAAGATATTAAAATACTGTAAAGTGTTGATTGTTTCCTTGCTTGGGAAATCGTTCTTTAAATTGTCTTTGCAGTTTTTTTTTCAAACGTTTCTTAAAAATAAATCCGCCAAAAACAAAATTTCTATTTAAACTATTAAAAAGCTTGATTTTTTTCTCTACAAAATGGCTTTTAAGAGCTTCTTAGAAGTAGTTGTTTTTGTGGATTTTCAAAGACGCAAAGGCGTAGCACTCAAAACTGTTCCGCTGCCGACTTTTTGTCGACTTTTCACCACTTTCTTCAATGCAAACCTATTTTTGTGTTAGAGTAAAAAAGATAGAGCTTATTTGATTACATAAGTCTGTAAAATTTGAAAACGATCCGTTCAGTGATTTTCTTGAAAACAGCAACTAAAAATTGCTTGCTAGAAATTGCTAAAATCGAATTTTTAGAGAGTTTTTACTGGTTTGAAACGAGCTTTGAGCTTTCTCTCAAAAGCAATTTTGTAAAGAAATGAGAGCTCTTTTTTATCGTTTAGAATGCAACAAAGTTCCCTTAGAGCTTTAGCTTTATATAGCTCGATAGATTGACGACTTTCCCTCTCACCTGATTTCGTGAATCGTGTGTGCACCCGGATTCCGACTATATAACGTTCGATGTCTGTATCCGGCTTCTTTCCATTGCTGAAAAGAGAATTATTCATCACTTTTCCGTTATTGGATAGACGCATGGAATGGTTGCGGGTAATTTGATCTTCTTTTTTGCCCCTTTCCTCACCTTCGTTGTCCACAAATTCTCTTGTCGTTGCCCGATCGAATCGACGCAAAACAAGGCACACTTCACCTTTGGTAGCTCACCGTCGATTAGACTCTGAAATGCTCAATGATGTTGATGAAGAAGTTGGCTAAAGTTTCCCAAAGTTTCCCAAAGTTCCCCCAAAGTCCCCCAAAGTTCCCCAAAGTTCCCCCAAAGTCCCCAAAGTTCCCCCAAAGCTTCCCAAAGTTCCCCAAAGTTCCCCCAAAGTCCCCCAAAGTTCCCCCAAAGTTTCCCAAAGTTTCCCAAAGTTCCCCAAAGTCCCCCAAAGTTCCCCCAAAGCTTCCCAAAGTTCCCCAAAGTTCCCCAAAGTCCCCCAAAGTTCCCCAAAGTTCCCCCAAAGTCCCCAAAGTCCCCAAAGTTTCCCCAAAGTCCCCAAAGTTCCCCCAAAGTTCCCCAAAGTTCCCCAAAGTTTCCCCAAAGTTTCCCCAAAGTCCCCAAAGTTCCCCCAAAGTTCCCCAAAGTTCCCCAAAGTTTCCCCAAAGTCCCCAAAGTTCCCCCAAAGTTCCCCAAAGTTTCCCCAAAGTCCCCAAAGGTCCCCCAAAGTTCCCCAAAGTTCCCCAAAGTTTCCCCAAAGTCCCCAAAGTTCCCCCAAAGTTCCCCAAAGTTCCCCAAAGTTTCCCCAAAGTCCCCCAAACTGTTAGACAGACTTTTGCATAGGTTATTCTTTTCTGAAAAATTCTCTAGAACTCTAGTTAGTGAAACCATTGCTGCTTTTCATTACAAAGTTTGTTTTGATTTTAAAAATTAATTCCTTAACGTACTAAAGAAAAAATTAAGTCCAGAAATTCACCTGCATAAAACCTTTCTGTGACTCAATGGGCACATCACGAAAAACGACGTGCTCGAGATTTTTTGCTTTTGAAACGTCCACATGAGCCATGGCGACGTCAAGAAGTCGACAATCAGAAGGCACTGAATTTGGATTTTTCAGAAACTAGAGTGACTATTTTAAAGACTAGTCCTATATCTAAATTCTCGATAGGAAAAGGCACATAAAGTCTATTAAAAGAAAAACTTAAGGTGAGCTTTTGTCTGAACACCTAGTGCATCGGGTATGAGGAAACCGAATTTGAAATTAAAATCCGCCAAATGGCTTTTCAAGTGTGTAAAACCTTAAGCGAAAATCTGACGTCAAAATGGAAGAAAAAAAACAAAAAGCTGCACTAGGGATCGAACCCTAATCTTGCGGGCGGTAGAAAATGCCGTTATCGACTAGGCCACCAAAGTGCTTCCTCTTTCCGCAGGAAAGAATGCTTTTAAAGCATCCCTCCAAAGCATTCTTTTAAAGCATCCTTTTAAAGCATCCCTCTAAAGCATTCCTTTAAAGCGTTTTTCATAGCTTTGATGGCATGGTGCCTTGGTGGCCTAGTGGATAAGGCATTAACCGGGCACAGGATCATGGTTCACAGGATCATTGGACCAGTCTTCCAGGGTCTGTAATTGTAAGACTGGCCTGGCCAAGTCAAAAGCTTAGTGGATCTTTTTGTTTTTGTTTTTCTTTTCGAGCAACTTCTAGCATAATTGGAGTCTTCCAGGGTCTGTAATTGTAAGACTGGGCTGGTCAAGCCAAAGCTAGGTCCAGAGCCGTCGATGGAGCCTTAGACTTGTTGCTGGCCATGTTGTTTCAGGTCTACACCTCCAGGAGGACCAGAAAACAGGACAGGACTTCACTAGCCTGTTCTGGCACAATAATGCCCTAAACCGAGCAAACAACAGTGTGATACCTGTAATAGAGGGAATCTTTGTGCAATCCTCCATCGCCGCTCGCCAACACAACAACTCCGGGCTGACTATTCTGAACACAAGATAAACCTTTAAAAAAAGTACTGTAAGTCTATTAAAGTCTATTAAAGTCTATTAAAGTCGATTAAAGTCTATTAAAGTCTATTAAATTCTATTAAAAGTCTATTAAAGTTTATTAAAGTTTATTAAAGTCTATTAAAGTCGATTAAAGTCTATTAAAAGTCTATTAAAGTCTATTAAATTCTATTAAAAGTCTATTAAAGTCTATTAAAGTCTATTAAATTCTATTAAAAGTCTATTAAAGTCTATTAAAGTCTATTAAGGTCTATTAAAGTCTTAAAGTCATAGGTCATAAATCTATTAAAGTCTATTAAGGTCTATTAAAAGACTAAAAGATTAATATAAAGTCGGTAAAAAGGTAAAGTTATACCTCAAAAAGCGATTGAAGTTTTCTTCATCGAAATACGGCCTCACATCTTCCAGTGATAAATTCCGGATCGAAACCGTGCACTCATCGATCAATTTCTCGAGCTCATTTAATAAATCATCAGTCAAGAAAGTCATTCGCTAAAAGATTTTAATGGTCTTTTGAAGATCTTTTGAAGAACTTACAATAATAAATGTTTCTATGCAAGAATTCGTGGCATGTGTTCGGAAGAAATTCTCGGAGAACTGATCTTGTGGCTTCTTGTTTCGACCTTGTCCAAAGCGCATGTACTTCTGAAAAGGAAAACATATATTGGGTTGTCCAGTTATGAATGCGCGTTTTTTACTATTCTGTAAATTTCTCAAGATACCGAAATCAAGAAAAAGATATATATGAGTATTATTCGAAAGCTGAAGATCTCCTCTACATTTTGATATAAAAAGCTTTTGAATTTGTCGAGCTTCTTGGGCAAATTGACTGCACAGAAGAAGAGGTGGCCAAAAAATGGAAGGTGGCCTTTGGATCAAGTTTTGGCTTCGCTCAATTTGAGTTAACCGTTTGATGTTTGGCCAATAGATATATCAATACAAGTTTTTCTTTAAATATAACAATTTCAGAGCATCTTCACTTTTCTGGGCGGTTATTTTCCACCATAAAACTTGAGGAATAGCTAAGCTGGAATGGGTTTTTTTTTCGAAAACGACCTCTCCCTTTTGTGCAATCAATTTGCCCCCAAAAGCTGAACAAATTTCAAAGCTTTTTATATCAAAATGTAGAGGAGATCTTCAGCTTTCGAATGATATATAACACTCATATGCATCTGTTCGATATCTTGAGAAATTTACATAATAGTAAAAACGCGCATTCATAACTGAACAACCCAATACAATGAAATATCATATTTGCAAAAACGAACGTCACTTTCGCGCGTCTGTAACTCCCTTGTCTTTACCGTATTTCTAAATATTAACATTACCATTGTGTAGCCCTTGAAAAGAGCTTTCAGAAAATGTAAAACACCAATAGTTTAAACTCAAAGACAATGGAGTTACAGATGTGCGAAAGTGACGATCGTTTTTTGCAAATATGATATTTCATTGTCCAGTACTGTAGATTATAGATTATAGAAACATCTAGAAAGATTCTTTTATTTAGATTCTTTTATTTTCGATGTACAATCGTCAAAATTCGGTAGCGATTTACTCTTATTGTGTTTAAAAAGTTACCCTCGTCAAAATGCATTCATCCCAGATCGTTCGTGTGTCTTTCACCTAAAATTGCCGTTTTTGAGCGTCACGTGCGTTTCCATTATGCTAAAGAAAGCTTTAAAAGCTCAACAATTGCTATTTTCTTGGAAAATCACCGTTATCTCGTTTTAGCATCGTTTTAACACCGTTTTGGGTGTGTTTAAAAATTTCCGATCTTCCGGTGGTTCCTTTAAAAAGCACTAAGCTACCGTACTCCGTGACGCGCGTCCCGAACGCCGTATATAAGGCCGGCCTTTCTCGTATATAAGGCGGGTCTTTCCCGTATATAAGGCCGGCCTTTCCCGTATATAAGGCCGGCCTTTCCTGTACCAGGCCGACCTTTCCAGTATATAAGGCCGGCCTTTCTGATATAAGGCCGGCCTTTCCCGTATATAAGGCCAGCCTTTCTCGTATATAAGGCGGGTCTTTCCCGTATATAAGGCCGGCCTTTCTCGTATATAAGGCCGGCCTTTCCTGTATACCAGGCCGACCTTTCCAGTATATAAGGCGGACCTTTCTCGTATATAAGGCCGGCCTTTCCTGTATACCAGGCCGACCTTTCCAGTATATAAGGCGGACCTTTCCCGTATATAAGACCGGCGTTTCCCGTATATAAGACCGGTCTTTCCCGTATATAAGGCGGGCTTTCCTATATAAGGCCGACCTTTCCCGTATATAAGGCCGGCCTTTCCCGTATATAAGACCGGCCTTTCCCGTATATAAGGCCGATTTTTCCTTTCCTTTTTTTCTTGTTGAGCTTTTAAGCTTTTTTATATAATAAATACATTCTTTCTTTATATTTGTATTCTTTTTTTGTATCCTTTTTTGTCGTATATTTCAAATTATTTCCATATTTATCGGATAATTTATATTTTGGTCTTCTAGTTTCTTTGGCTTTCCTCAAGCAAAAGACTTACAATTATCCTTATAACGCTAGATTATTAATTCAACTTTAATTTAGCCGCTAGAAAATCGAAAATTGCAACATTAGATTCTTTTTGTTATTAAAATAAAATCACTCGCGTTTACGTTTCCTAGGGAACATTTTTCCTAATGTTCTTTGAGCTCAAACGTAAATGCACCTTTCTAGCTCACTGAATTCTTCAATTTTCTCGATTTCTCGATTTCTCGAAAGACTCAGTGCGTTAGAAAGGATTTGTTTACACTTTTGCAAGCACAAAGTACACTCATATCAGAATCATAGATCATAGAATGCTTCTCAATAAACAAAATGAAGTTAAATTCATTTCTTGCCTCTTTAATGACTTTAAAGAATGACTCACCTCTTTAAAAAGCAAAACACTTGACGGATCGTTGAACGAGGTGTACGAGAGGATTCTCATGAGAAAATCTTCTCTCAGCACCTCCATCATCTCTCCAACTGAGCTCTTGCTCCGGCGGAATTTCGTGGAAAACGCTATTTTCTAGACGAAAGAAAAAGTGATTATGATTGTTTTGAAAGAACTGGAAAAAGAGATTGGAAACGAAGCAGGTGGGATTTTTTTTTTTGATAAACAGCGCATGACCTGGTGGGTGGTGAGGAGGTGGCTGGGGAAAGGTCAAGTTAGAATTTTACTTTTGACATATAAATACAGTACTTGCAAGAAACGAATAGAGACTTTAAAACGTTTAAAGCTCATAAATAAACTCATAAAATATCGATAAATAGAGTACTGGACAATGAAGTATCATATTTGCAAAAACGATCGTCACTTTCGCGCGCCTGTAACTCCCTTGTCTTTGAGTTTAAACTATTGGTGTTATACATTTTCTGAAAGCTCTTTTCAAGGGCTACACAATGGTAAGATTAATATTTAGAACTACGGTAAAGACAAGGGAGTTACAGACGCGCGAAAGTGACGATACATGTCGTAGCCGATTATGAATGAAATTTTTTGGCAAATCTTTCTAGAGCAACCATTTAATGTATGAGGACAATATTATATCATCCTGTAGCGAATTCAATTCTGCGTCGATTGGTACCAAATTTGTGAGTTTAGGTTAAAAATTGCCGGTGCTACAACGTTTCATTCAAAATCGGCGGCCCCCGTAGCCGACGATGAATTGAGTGGGTCTAGGCCCGTCCAACCATCAAGTATTTGGTCTCATTCAACGCAGAATCATTGATGATTATGTCAAATTTTTTAAATTAGCAAGATCTGATAAAAAGAAAAAAATTAGAGCAAAAAAACTGTTTGTTTAAGAGGAAACTTTGAAGCCCCATAATTTTTTTCTTTTTTTCCAATCTTTCTAATTAAAAAAGATTTGACATAATTATTAATGATTTTGCGTTGTATGATACTAAATACTTGATGGCTGGACGCGTCCGGAACGACTCATTCATAATCGGCTACGGGGGTCCCGCCGATTTTAAATGAA